AATCCCAGCAAATATATAAACTCGTGAAAGTTGTTTTACGGTACACAGAATCGACTCTGATCTGTCTCCAAATGCAAGTATAATATATGAATGTTCTTTCTTGCATCAGTAGTTTAATAGATAGACTCATTGCCATAGCGAAAGATGCCTTCCAAACGCTAAAGAAATTATTAAGAAACAGAAAAAAAAAATTTCGTTAGAAACATGGAAACCTATTGTACACTCTTGCCTTGATCTATCCACTACCTTTCTCCTCATCCTTTCTTCTATCACTTCTATCTGGTCTTGCTCCAAATTTTCTGTAACCCCTTGCGTCCTAGTGGCTTCTCGCCCTGCTTGGGGTGAAACGCTTAAAAAAAAAGTAATATCTAATATTCAGTTGGAAATACAATAAATTAAAAATTTCTTTGGGCATGAATATTTGTTTCTCCACTACATATATATATATATATATATATATATATATATATATATATATATATATATATATATATATATGTGTGTGTGTGTGTGTGTGTGTGTGTGCACGCGGTGAGTAATGGAATGATGAGGCGAACGACATTAAAATTATATTAAAAACGACTTCATCAAAAAAATAAAATATTCTTATTGATGGAATATATATATATATATATATATATATATATAGATAGATAGATATAGATAGATATGTGCTAAAATACATTTTTAAATAAGCTATATCTATTGACTAAAGTGCTGAATATCAGAGATAGAGCTTATGTTAATCAAATGTGGACGTTAAAGACAAGACCCAAATGCGACACACATGAAACACGCTGTTGCCTCTAGGTCTTGAGTTCAATGTCCAAACACATTTATATATATATATATATATATATATATATATATATATATATCCTCCTGGTGAATCTTCTAACAGATAAAGAGGAGACTTGAGGCCACATGGATGTGGTTCTACGTATAGATACTGGGAATGACCAGGGACAAGTGTGTTAGCAACGACGAAGTTTTTAAGGAAAATAGCAACAAAAAGGACACTTACATTTACGATAACAAAGAGACCGTTGAAATGTTTTGGGACACGTTATGAGGATGTGCGGGTGGTGTAATGGATAACGGCTCGAAAGGAAAATCCGAGAGCCGTGTGCGAATTACAGTCGATTTCGTTATATTCACTTGCGTACAAATACCTTTGGAAAAAAGTATGAACCCATCTCTTCTCTCCCAGCTATGGTTTGAATAGCAGGACAGATTGGGTTCTTTAGCCTTCGTTGGCAATCAGTTACTGCGGGGAAATCTTCTGCCTAGTCAGTCAAATCGTTTAATCGAAAGAGACATGATCGCCTAAGCGCGTATCACGTATGGCACTTAACTCGCTGATTGAATGAGGAAAGAGGACTCAGCTAATTTGACAACCACATATCCAAGGCAAGAGAGAATGTGAGAATAAACTGCCTAAAGAGCTTTTGTAAATGAATGACAGAACATTGAGTGTAAGGGATAGTAAAAATACAAATATTGCTAAGTGTAGGAAATTGTGAAGAGCCATGGCTGATCTTGTCCTGAAAAGGACACGGTTATATAGAAGAAGAAAAGAATTGCCATATATAATAAAACATGATACCATTTCTCTTTTCTTGGATTTTAATATTCACCAGAAGTTAAAAGCTCTAGATCCCGAATGTTTGGATAGTATTTGCCTTCTTTGGATCTAGGCATGTCGTTCTGCATGTAAACAAGAATAGGTTTCAAATAAAAAAAAATTCCCTGTCTATCGCTATTCTTCACGCTTGCATTAAGGAAAAAAATCTGTTTAAATAACATATTTTATGTATATAACCATTGCTTTATTTAGTAAACATGGATTCTGAAACTTGACATTACGTTTGTCGTAAGAATACCCGTAACTGATAAAACTTGCAAGACAGGATTATTTTCTGCAACGCATGCAAAGCTGGATTTGAGAGTGACACATTTCACAGAATGTCCTCCTCTTTTCTGAGTTTGCAGTTAGATTCAGTGAGAGCGTTTGATTAGAATATCTTGTAGTGCCAAGAAAGCCTATTAAAACCTTCTTCTTCCAGTTATTGTCATCAGTACCACAGGAGACGGTGGTCTTCAGGGCATCTCAATATCGCTTCCGAGACGCCTCCCTGCTGCAATTATCGAATGTCATTTGTCATAGTCCTTATGTGACTGCATGTAGGAAAAATCAGTGCCTGTATCAAGTTAAGTTAACGGACTGCCTTCATTACCTTCTTGAATCAAACACAGTCGTTCCAACTTCGTCTTACATTCATTTCTAAGTCTGTCATTGTCATCAACTGTTGATTTGTGATGCAGTAACCAAGGCCAAAGGAAGATATTTTTGACGCGAGTAAAATTTAATCGTATTTTTTTCTTTTTATCATAATAAAATTTCTAAGAAAAAATCATGTCCCACTTGTTTCTTAACTATGTATAATAATTTTCTCTTATTTAAAGTACAAAACAACTACTTTTGGTCCAATTTAAAAAAAATTACCATGGGATTCCTCAAAGGTTTGAACTGTAGTGTACATTATATACCTAAATACATTATATATATGTGTGTGTGTGTGTGCGTGCGTGCGCTAAGGATTCGGAACTATTGTTCTGAATGATAAAAATAAATATCACCACATATTTAATTTCATGTAAGAAAAAAGATTTAATCGATCACCTGGAGGTAGTATATTTGTTAACATATGAGTTCCACCCAATTTATATATAATACTGCAGTAATATGATGCTTGGTTAATTATTATTACTTCTAGCCTACAGCATCTCGGTGAACATTAGTAGATCAGATCACGTAATGTCGAAGATTAAATCAGAATGAAAATCAGGAGATATTTTTCAGCCATTTTTTAAAGAAACAAACGGGGTTCTTATCATCAAAGAAGAAATAATTTGAACATTTTTTCTATAAAAATACAATTTTTAGGTTGAAAATATCCGAACATTTGTATCACATATTATGCGGAGCTATACTTCAATAAAAAAAAAAACAACCTTAGTTTCGTACATTGGTTTTCTGAACTTGCAACTGTATTAGCATGTTTAATGCGTCTTCTTAGGTCTTCTTCAAACCTGATTTTTATTACCCTTTCCTCCAATAAAGTAGCGTCGTTCTCTTTCACTCCCAAAAACTCTCTTGCATCTTAGTGACATTATCGCCTTGCTTGGAGTGAAATGATTAAAAAGATATTTGAGAAAAAAAAAGAAAGACGGTATGAGAAAAAAGAAGGAAAAACAAATGAAAAATTATGGGAATGAAAGAAGGAGAATGAAATCATATCATAAAAGAAAGAAAGAAAGAAAGAAAATTGTATGAGAAAAAGGAAAAACGATAGAAACTAAGAAAGAAAAAAGAAAAAAAATCATATGAGAGAGAAAGAAAGAAAAAAAGAAAATTGTATGAGAAAAAGGAAAAACGATAGAAACTAAGAAAGAAAAAAGAAGAAAAATCATATGAGAGAGAAAGAAAGAAAGAAAATTGTATGAGAAAAAGGAAAAACGATAGAAACTAAGAAAGAAAAAAGAAGAAAAATCATATGAGAGAGAAAGAAAGAAAGAAAATTGTATGAGAAAAAGGAAAAAAATAAAAGAAAGAAAAAAGAAGAAAAATCATATGAGAAAGAAAGAAAGAAAATTGTATGAGAAAAAGAAAAAAAGGAAAAACGATAGAAAGTAATAAAGAAAAAAGAAGAAAAATCATATGAGAAAGAAAGAAAGAAAGATAGAAAGAAAGGAAATCATATGAGAATAAAAAAGAAAAAAGAAAGAAAGTATTATGAAGATGAAAGATAGAAAAACGAAAAATGAGAAAGAAAAAAGAAAATGGAAAAAAGAAAATCATATGGGAAGGAAAGAATGAAAAAAGAAGAAAGAAAATCAGATTAGAAAGAAAGAAACAAAGAAAGTGAAAAAGAAAGAAAAACTTTTAACAGAACGCTAGAAAGAAATAAAACATCTGTTTCAGGAATTAGTCTTCAACAACCGGTTTCGAATGACCTCCCCAACCGGATATCAGTTAAGTATTTGTGCAGTGTTCCTATCGTCAGTAAAGAGGGATGAGCTGAACTGTTTTTTTCTCTCTTCTAAATACCTTCATACAATTTCGTATTGAAGAGAATAGTTTATGAGAATTCAAAACAAGGGAAATAAAGTTAAAAAATATATTCACATTTAATACAATCTAAAGCGAGTCTTTTTCTCCAAAAGAACAATCCCTAAAAAACACATTACTCAATTTAGATATATTAGACATATTTAGGAGGTATTATATTCATAAATATTTTCGTGATGTCAGAGCGAAACCCTTGATTCTAATACAGCATTTGATAAATTGATTACAGAATCATAATTCTTTATTCTTTTTATTGTAAAAGTCACTTTCTATGAAAAGTTTGATAAAACCTCTTTTTTTTAAAATGCTAAGCAAATCGCAGATTTTCCATTGAGGGCTTACTATACTGTACTGTACTGATGCGGCATTCACCCTGGGCGGATTGAGCCGGCTTCTTCCTGTTATAAGAAGATTCTTGGGATAAATTACAGAAGTAGGGTACCCAGGCCTACTCGGATAACGTTCTTGCTTGCCGCGGGGTTCCCACAGACGCAGAGACAGGAACGACCAGAAGCCGCCGGTTACCGATGCAGACGCTCCTTGGATTTTCACCAGAGCCCTTGTTAGCCGGCGTGTGTGTCAGACCTGTCCGCCTTGGGTGGCCCTACCAGGAACGAAGTTCCGGGCGGCATAGCTCTGACACTACCGTTTACACCCCCCCACACACCGACTGTGAGGTAAGGGTTGGACTTTGGCCAAATCACGGTCAAATGACTTACGGTCAAATCACGCTGAAAACACCGGTTCTCGTTCGATCACCGAAGTTAAGCATCGTAGAGCCAGGTCAGTACTTAGATGGGGGACCGCTTGGGAACACCTGGTACTGTAAGCCCCCAAAGTCCAACCCCTTCAAAGTCCAATTGAGGGCTTACGGTCACATCACGTTGAAATACCGGTTCCCGTAGGATCAACAATGTTAATCAAAGTCGAGCCTGGTTAGTACCTAGATGGGTTATCCTTTGGGAAAACCACGTGTTGTAAGCTTGGATGTGCGGGTGATGTAATGGATAACAGCTAGGAATTGTTAATCGGAGAGCCGAGTTCTAATTCCCGTTGGGTACGTTATATTCACTTACGCGCAAATAATCTTGAGAAATGTATAAATCCAACACTTGTCCCCCAGCTATGGGTTAATTAGTAAAACTTGTTTTCCTGAATAGTTATTATCTCGAAAAACAAATTCTTACAATCTAAAAATATTTCCCGGTTTTAAATAAGCTGAAAAGAGTTTTTAAAAAATCAACGAATCAAACAATAAATTTATCTGAAAAATGTGACGTTTACACGTCTCATTATTTTTCGTATATTCAGTCAGTTGTATGTCATCATTTTCAACCTATATGGAGAATTAGGAAGCTAGAAAATTGCCTATTTTCTAGATTCTGAATTTTCCGTATAGGTTGAAAGTTCCATATTATCTTGTAGCTAGAAAATTGCCTATTTTCTAGATTCTGAAGTGTTCGTATCGGTTGAAAGTTCCATATTATCTTGTAGCTAGAAAATTGCCTATTTTCTAGATTCTGAAGTGTTCGTATCGGTTGAAAGTTCCATATTATCTTGTAGCTAGAAAATTGCCTATTTTCTAGATTCTGAAGTGTTCGTATAGGTTGAAAGTTCCATATTATCTTGTAGCTAGAAAATTGCCTATTTTCTAGATTCTGAAGTGTCCGTATAGGTTGATTGTTCCATACTATCTTGTACCGTGACAAAAGTAAACATGTCTCTTTTGAAATAAGAAACTTTATACAATGATTTACAGAAGGAAAAAAAACAGCCTCTCTTCTGAAAGAGCACTTATTCAAAAATCTACAGAGGTATGACAAAAGTGAACACATGTTTCATTTACGAAACCGGAGCTTTTATCCTATAATCTACAAAGGCGTGACAAATTAAATAGTCGTCTCGAATTTCAAATAACAACCTTTATTTATTGATCTAAAAAAAAAGAAAAAAGGATATATATATCTATATCTATTTTCAAACAATTGTATTTATCCAAAGAGGCATGATATATGTAATTACATACATTTACATACATTTATTTTTAAACAAGAGCCTTTTGCCAGTGATCTCACAACAAGGCAATATGAGTAATGCTTCATTCTTCATGACATATCAAATAATATTTTCTGTTTACGTATGTCATATAAACTCATACGTTATATTTAGCGGGAACACATGCTTGAGTAGGCATCTTTTTTTAACAGTGAAATGAATATATACCAACCTAAAGATCAAACATTTATTAAAGTATAATTACTCTCAAAGCTTAATAGAAGAATTGTGATGAAAGCGATCATAAACGAAAATGACATGTTAATCATTAATTAATCTTAGCTAAGGATCGGGAGCTCATGATATATTGAATAAAGTTCACATATATATATATATAGTTTATGAAAAACTAGGTAATCCGTATTGGTAAACCTAAGTAGGATAAAATCCAGAGAGCTCAATGTAAATCCAGAGCAAATAATTTAAATAAAAACAGACCACTTTAAGGTTCCATGTAATAAATTATTTCACCACAGCCCTTTAAAAGACTGCGGATCATCAGACTTTACTTCCAAACAAAAAATGAAAAAAAAATTTTATATTTTTGACGGGCCGTAATTAAACATATGTAAATTAACGAAGTGAGGAAGTGATGGGGGAGCAATGTCTGCTAACTCACTCATGTCTTCTTCTCTCCTCCCTCACTTCGTTAATTTACATATATATATATATATATATATATATATATATATATATATATATATATATATGTATTATTCAGGATCATTTTTCAACACATTTCAGATGATCTTCGTTCTCTCTACCCTTCTAACTTTCTGTCCTGGTGTATAAAAGATGCCTCACAGTTTTCCCCTACGATTTCATTTTCAACTCATTTTTCACTGTTTTTGGACTATCATAGCTGGAACACCTCTCTCACATGGTAAAAGTCTTATAAATTGAGTTGGATCTTTTCTAAGTGATTTCTTTAGCTCTAAGTTGAAATGATGATTCCTCTTTCTGCTGTGACCTCCTCATCCAATTTTCCTTTCTACCGTTCTCTCTTACTTTTCAAACTTGTTCACTGTTCTCTTGATGGTTCTTGAATATGGACTTTGACGATGGAAGCTAGCGTATGAATGTTGGTACCATTATTGAAGACCTGAATGATCTTTTTCCTCCCACCATTGCTCAGTTGTGAAGACAGTGGGTCTGACACAAAACAATTTTAACCTGCTCTCTTTTTAGCTGAATAACTCAAAGGCTTTTTCAGTGATTCTTACGACAAATGGTATCAAGATGGCTAAACGTTTTATCTGAAAAACTAGAAAAAAGAAACTCAATTACTCTAGAAGTTTTTTTTTAAATATTAAACTTTTGTCTGATGGATAATTATGGTGCTATACTATTTGGACTATTTTGCTGTTACGCCTGGTACATATATATATATATATATATATATATATATATATATATATATATATATATATATATATATATATAATTTATTCGAAAATTATAAAATAAACGTGTTATAAAATCACTAAAAAATAGCCCTTTTGTTTCAACATACTTCTGATGTCTCATCAAGTGATGGTGTTGAATGCCTTTATTCTACATTCAATACCATCACTTGATAAGACATTTCTGAAGTGTTGAAACAAAATGGCTATAATTGTAGTGATTTTATAACATGTTTATGCTATCGAATATTGAATAAATTATATTTTCTCTACTCTGTATTGGGCATTCTTTTAAGAATAGTTTTTTGGTTATTGAAATTTATTCCGTATACACCAATCCTATACTTGGCTATATATATATATATATATATATATCTGTGTGTGTAAAGGTAAAAGACAATGGGAAAACTATTATTAGCCGACGCGCTTCGTCCAATGTATACTTTTCGAGGCAAAAACGAAATGAATTTATTAAAAACAAAGTAACTATTAACAACAAACAAAATGTCCTTAGCAACTAGAAGAATTTAGAAAAGCGCTATTGTATTCATATTCTCAACTGAAAATTATGTCAAGTACTACCAATTCAGTTGTAACGCGTCGGCTAATAATAAAGTTTTCCTATTGTCTTTTACCTTTATATATATATTGTCTTTTTCTACAGGTTAATTCTATATATATATATATATATATATATATATATATATATATATATATATATATATATAATCATCCACAGACGGACTGTTTCGCTGTATCACAGCTCCTCAGTGTGACTAGATGTTCGATTGCTTCAAACCTCACTGATTTGACATCAGTCAGACATCTTATCTCTAGGCCATCGCTGCATGGCGATATATATGCACTTACTGCATGTAAATGTTCATATTAATAATAATTTTAATTCGCTTTGTTTCGCGGTTCTGTCATCTTTATTTTTAAAAAGTTAGAGACACCAAGCACATGGATTCCATATCTAAGTCAAGTCTTTGTCATTTGATATTATATTCCTTAATCTTTAAGAAGGGGTGGATAATCCTTTCCCTTTTGCCTTCCTCAGGGGATTTATGACAGTTATTATCGGTTTCTCTAAAAACGTATCAGATTTTGATAAATCTATTTCGATGAAAACCGTACCGATTAAATATTCAATGTAATGTAAAAAAAAAGTAAAGTAAAAAAAAGAAGAAGAAGGCCGGAGCGTACAACGGCCGAAACGTTGTAATAAATATGGCGACAAAGATGAGGACAATAGTCCGAATAATGTAAATAATGTAAAAAGAAGTGGTTGAGAAACACTGCCCTAAACTAATTAAAGCCGTATTATGTGATTCATGTCAAGAAATACCAGATGGTCTGAATCAAATTTAATGGAAATACGGGTCCTTTTGTCTAAGAGAAGTTCATATGAAATGACTACAATATGTATAACGATGACGATGCGAAAATATACTTCGGACTCGGTGTTACATCAGAGCGTTAGAGACGCCAGATGCATCAGCGGGTTGACGTAGAAATTGAACCTATAGCCACCAACTGCATATTTGGTGCAGCACAAGATGTCAGTGTCTGATCCCGGCAAGTAAACAGGTGATCAATGCAGCTTCGGTTAGGATGCGCACACAAGAGACAACCGGATGACAGGTATACATATATAGGCACTCACACGAGATGAAAGAAAGTAGAGAGTTTCTCATATCCTCACGAGAAGAAGAATCCACGTTCAGAGAAAACTCTCAAGATCACACACCCTCTCACCGAGAGATTAAACCTTGTATCTGTACAGCGATAATATGGCAAAGTGCCAACAGTGTTAAAGGACTAAATTTTGATTACCTTCAATCCCATTGTCACGAACATAGAATTAGACTGCTTGATTTCGAATTCCCTCTCCACTAAGAAGTTAGATGCAACCAGATCTTCATTCACATCAAAGCTGATCTTACTTGATAAATAAAGTAGGTAGCAGTCCTTGAAATGATTGCAGTTGATCGATATTTCTAAAATAAGATGACACTGATAAAAAGGTAGACTGATAGACATGTATTTGGGAACCCGAGATAATGATTTTCGTTAAACAGGAAGACAAATTGGATACTTTTTTTCCTGGTGGTGAAAAGAGAGGTGCTCCGAAAGTAATGCCTTCTATGTATTTCCCTAGAAACTAGAGTGAACACAATAAAACTGTTTGGAGCGAGAGAGGCCAAGTTTTCAACGACAAACTATTATATTTGCCCATAGACGCCACCATCCGTAAACGCATTTTCGCCAGTGGTGAACAAGAGCATTTCTATCGCGCCCTGAATGTGGATTGTCACGCATTACTCACCACCTTGCTGCGCTTACATCCACTGTTTGGTTACCGTAAACGTTCAGAGAGCTCTAGCAGAAGTCAATAAGTGCATTTTTTTTTTACGTATTGAGGAAATGATATGTCAGACGCCATTTTACCAGTCTTCTATACACAGCAAAGCAAAATACTATATGGTTTAAAGTTCAATCCCTACACTCGTACTCTGAAGTGGGTCAACATAATATAATATGAAGCTTTACTTTCGGAGCAATCTTCGTATGGCTACCTATATAAATATAATATAACATAATATGATGTAATATCATATAAATATAATAATATAATATAGAATATAACATAATACAACATGATATAATATGAAGCATTACTTTCGGAGCAATATTCGTATGGATACCTATATGAATATAATACAACATGATATAATATGAAGCATTACAATTTCATATGGAGAATATAATACAACAATATTCGTATGGATACCTATATGAATATAATACAACATGATATAATATGAAGCATTACTTTCGGAGCAATATTCGTATGGATACCTATATGAATATAATACAACATGATATAATATGAAGCATTACTTTCGGAGCAATATTCGTATGGATACCTATATGAATATAATACAACATGATATAATATGAAGCATTACTTTCGGAGCAATATTCGTATGGATACCTATATGAATATAATACAACATGATATAATATGAAGCATTACTTTCGGAGCAATATTCGTATGGATACCTATATGAATATAATACAACATGATATAATATGAAGCATTACTTTCGGAGCAATATTCGTATGGATACCTATATGAATATAATACAACATGATATAATATGAAGCATTACTTTCGGAGCAATATTCGTATGGATACCTATATGAATATAAATATAATATAAATATAATAATCATTATTTGCATTATTCGGACTATTGTCCTCATCTTTGCCGACATATGTATTACAACGTTTCGGCCGTTTACGCTCCGGTCTTCTTCAGGGGGTTCGAATGTCGAACTGAACCCTTATAAATATGAAATATAAAGGGGATAAAGGGGAGACAGCCACCCCCACCCCCTTGAGGTAGGGCTTCAAGAAAACCAGAAAGCTGTAACACGAGGGGAATGGAAAAATCAGGCGTGGGGTTAGGGTTAGAATAATTGTGGAGAGAGAAAGGAGATCACCGCCCCAGGTTGAGATCATAGACAAGGAACACCATTGGAAAATTCGTAAACTTAAGGAATACAATCATGTATTCATTTGTCTTCTTGCTTTAGTCTCTCGTATATACACTGCGTGCCAAATTATTATCGAGATAATTTTTTTCTAATATTTCAAAAACCCTCCAATCAATTCACACAATATTTTCGCACAATGTTGGCAACACAGACCTGCGCAATCACTGAAATTTTCGTACTGATCTGCGCAAGGTAAACAAACTGGCGCCGTATTTGTTATCAGCACGGTGATTTGAGAGTGCCAAATGATTAGAAACGTGTAAGAATTTAGTGAAAAGATGGGCCGTAAAAGCAGTTTAAATGATGCTGAAAAGAAAACTATCACCTCAGAACTCTCAAAAGCATATTAATTTCATATCTCTCTCAAGCATACTTTAATTAAACCTAAACTTTAAGTAATAAAGATTACCCATATAAAAATAATTACAAATTACATTCATAAATTAGATTCAAACTGATAAAGATGTTACCGTAACTGTTTTTTACAATATTAAAATGTACGATTGGTCGGGTAAACAAACTGTTATAATTTAAATTTTTTTAATATTTTCTCTATAAATGTGTTAATAAATATAGTATTTAACTTATATTAAATCCCTAAACAATTTGTTTTTAAAAAAATTAAATATTTAAATTGATAGCAAACATCAAATTAATTTATTCGGTTTTTTTAGACATCTAAATTACTATCAAGCATTAAAATCTATTCTTTACATAAATAACTAAAATGCAATTACAGCCTCTTTCTCTTTACTTCCCTTTCTCTCTTCTACCTTTTTCCTTTTTCCCTACTCCCCTCCCATTTTAATATATCACTTCCGTTAAGTTAGCCGTCTAAATAGGTCAAAGTCTGGTCACTCCTCCTCCCCCAATACAAAGTATGCTTGAGAGAGATATGAAATGAATCCCTCCCTATACTCTACCATGTCTCTTTAACTACTCCTTTTTCACTCTCTGCTTAATTACAAATACTTACACTACTCATCAATTTTAATTTCACTTTTCGTTTCAATTCATTTTTGGAAGTGCTATCTGATGATCCGGCGTTCTTTAAAAGGGCTCTGGTGAAATAAATTATTATAATGGAACCTTAAAGTGGTCTGTTTTTCTTTTAAATATTAGCTCTGGATTTACATTGAGCTCTCAGGATTTCATCCTCCTTGGGATTACCCAGTTCTTCATAACTTAAATATATATATATATATATATATATATATATATATATATATATATATATAAATGGATAAAATGGTCAAAGTCCGACAATTTATTTATTAAAGACATTTTTATGTTTAACGTTCTTTTTTTATAGATACAAGTATCTCGGACATTCAGGCCTGTAAATGTTGTTTTAATACTGTTTTGTTATAAACAGAGCATTTTTACTTAAATACTTGTATCTATAAAAAGAACGTTAAATATAAAATATATATATATATATATATATATATATATATATATATATATATATATAATCGAATATCTGGACAATCGGTTGCGCGGCTGTGACGTAAATCGACAACCAATTGTGAATGTTTAACTGACGCTCTCATTTAGGGTTATTCAGTTAGTGTCCAAATGAGTAGATACTTCACGTCTCGTGTAGTTACCCTCTTTTTAAAAAAATTTCGCCCAGGTTTGATTTGCTCTAATTTTTCCAATTCATCAACAGCAAATATTAGATCGAGAAGGCGTAATTAATTACTCACCTGGACGTGGCCAACACTAATGCTGATAGCCAGCTAACCTAGGTGTTACTGTGATGATTTTAGCCCTCACTAGGTGGCCGGCATATGAGGCCTTGTATTCGACTAATTTTAGTAACAGCGATATGTTGTACATACATAATACTTACAGATATATATCTGGCACAATGCTTTTGATATTTAACCCTTATCTTTTGAAATGGACCAGACAAAAAGCTTTTATCTCGAAAACAAATTTCAACAAGACAGCCTTTCTTTGCCGGAAGTTATATCTATGATGCAGTGAATATTGACATTTTCCATGCAAAAAAAAAAAAAAAAAATATTTGCAATAACAAATGAAAAAAAATTCTAAAAATTCAACCCCCACTATCTTTTGATAACAATTCTACTTGACTTCGGCCAGATGAAGATGTCGTTACACTTTCTTTTCTTTTTTATAAATAGCGAGTTCTTCAAGAATTCTGGCATGTCACTTTAGAATAGACAAGATGGGAGCCTCTTTTAGATTCCAAAACAGTACTTAGCTGATCGCGAGAATCCGCGATCGATTGTCAGTTTCGATCAGATCAAAGTTAAAAGGTTATGCTGCGGTTCGATAACCATGATTAAAGCGAAGTCAAATTGAAATCTTTGCTGGGTAGTAGAATATTCTGACATTCTGTAAAAAAAAAAAAATAAATTAGCGTTGGTTAGATTCTGTCCTTCGCCATCTTTATTTTTTTTTCTGCTTCCGTTTTCAAATCTATTCACCCTCCCTTTTCTAGTTATCCCCCCCATCTGCTTCCATGTAGTTATTCTTCTCTCCTCCCTATCCTCATCATTTTTTGTCTTTTCTCTATTTTCATACTTTCTCTTTTTCTTCTCTTTTCTTTCTTTTTTTTTTCTCATATTTTCCTCCGCTTTACTTTACTTCTTTTCTTCATTACATTTTTCCTCCCTAAATATCTTCTTGCTCTTCCTCCTACTTCATAAATTTCATTCACTTCTCTCTTAATTATTCTCCCCTTCTTTACACTTCATTTCCCCCCTCTTCTTTCCTTCTGTTTCTTCCACTTCTCCTCCGCCCAGTTCCTCTCTTTCGTGTTTCTTTTTCATCTGTTCTTTTTGTTTTTTTCCTCTCCTCCCCTTACTTTTCCTCTCCTCCTCCTCCTGCTTTCGTTTGCTTTCCGTTCAGTTACTTTATTTCTTTTTCTTCCTTCTTATCTTTTCATTTTGTTCTTCCTCTCCTTCTTTTCCTTTTCTCCCTCTCATTTTTCTTCATCTGCTTCCTCTCCCTTTCTTATTGTTCTTTGTCATCTTTATTTTCTTTCCCGGCTTTAACGCTTCCACCACCGCCTGCTCTCTTCCTTTTCTTCATTTCATCTTTCTCCGTCTCCTTCCTCTTTTTTTTCTACTACTACTACTACTACTACTACTTCTTTCTCATCTGTTCCTTTTTTTATTATTTTTCCACACCTTCTCCCCACTTCATTTCCTCTTTTTCCTCCTACTTTGCTTCTTCTTCCTTTTTGTTTTCTTCACTTTCCTTTCATTCTTCCCCATTCGATTGCGTTCTTTCCTTTAGCTTTCTTCGTCATTTTGATTCTTCCTCTGCCTCTCTTTCTCTTTCGTTTCTTCTTCTCTTTCTCCCCTATACATCGTCTTCCTCGCCTTCCCATTTCTTTAACTCATCTTTCACATATTTTTTTTTCTTCTTCCTTTTTTTTTCTCCCAACCTTGCTTTTTCGTTTCTTTCTTTCGTTGACATAGAGCTTGTTTCTTTGTGAAAGGTGAAAAGAAGAAAGATGAGAAGAAGAAAACAGCGGAAGGGTGGGGGCGGGAAAAAACGGGTTCTTTTCCTACTTCCCTTCTTCTTCCCACCCTTAACTTTTTTTCTTCTTCTTCTTCTTCTTCTTCTTCTTCTTCTTCTTCTTCTTCTGTCCTCCTCCTTCTACTTTCTTTCTTTCCTACTTTTTCTTTTTTTCTAGTTTTTACTTGTCATCTTTCCTTGCTCTTCTTTTTCTTTCTGCCTTTCTCCTCTTTCATTCTTCCTCGCTTTCATCAAACTTTTCTTTTGACCTCCCTTTCTTCTTCTTCTTCGCCTTCTTCTTCTTCTTCTTCTTCTTCTTCTTCGCCTTCTTCTGGCCTTCTTTTTCTACTTTCTTTCCTTCTTTTTCTTTTTTTCTTCTTCTTACTTGACATCTTTCTTAGCTCTTCCTTTTCTTTTTCTATTTCTCTTCTTTCATTTCTTCATTGCTTTCATCTATCTTTTCTTTTGACCTGCCTTCATTTCTTCTTCTTCTTCTTTTTCTTCTTCTTTTTTCTTCTCCCCTCCTTCTTTTACTTTCTCTCTTTTTTTTCTTTTTTTCTCTATTTTCTACTTATTCTTCCTCATCGTTTTTTACATGCCTTCATCTTCTTTGTATTTCTCTCTCACGCTCTTCTAGCATTTCTTTCTCTCTTTCATTTCACTTTTGTCTGTCCTTCCTCCCCCCCTTTCATCCTCTTCGCTTCTCTGTTCTTCTACATTATTCAATTCCTTTCTTTTTTTCAAATACGTTGCTCATCGTTTTCGTTCCTCAGTCTCCTATTTCATTTTCCTCCTTTTCATCCACATTTTCTGCCATCCTATTCCTCTTTCCTTCACTTTTAATTCCTCATCTTCCTCTATTTCTCACCTTCTTCTCCTTCTTTCTTTCTTTCTTTCTTTTTCCTGTCGTTATTTTCACCTCTCTCTCTTTCTCCCCTCTCTCTCTCCCTCTCTCTCACTCACTCTCTTTCATTCCTTCTCTTTCATCTACATTTTCTGCCCTCCTATTCCTCTTTCCTTCACTTTTACTTCCTCATCTTCCTTTATTTCTCACCATCTCCTCCTACTTTCTTTCTTTCCTTTTCCTGTCGTTATTTTCCTCTCTCTCTCTCTCTCTCTCTCTCACTCACTCACTCACTCATTCACTCTCTTTCATTCCTTCTCTTTCATCTACCTTTTTCTGTTCTTCCTCTACGCTTACTTCCTCTTCTTCCTCCCTTCCGCCTGCTATTTTCTTTCTTTCTTTTTCCTGTCGTTATTTTCACTTCTCTTTGACATCTTTTTCTTCCCCGCCTCTCTCTCTCTTTCAGTTGTTTCTCTCTTTCATTTACCTTCTGTCCTTTCTATACCCTTTCTTTCTATTTCTCCTCCTCGTGTTCATTTCCTTTCTTCTTTGGAACTTTTTGTCCAATCTCTAAAAAAAATCAAATAAAAACAAAAGAAAATAATACTGCCGAATTTAACTTTCTTGTAACTTTCTTTGCTAGGATTTTTCTCAGATATTTACATTCAAAAACCCCCACCCCAACCCTTTCCTACCACGATACTTACATCACTTTTTATGATCCGTTGCCAAGTGCTCCACTGATTATAGGAATCAATGTCATTGTCAGTTTTACATGACTTTTAATTTTCTTACAACTAATTTCTTTCTTGTACAAAAAGCTTAGTCATCGGACATATGAACATCGGAGCCATTAAATGAATAAATAATAAGAACATAAAAGGATACGTAATTAAGACAGACCGTCCCTGTCAATTTGAATCCGGAAAAAAAAAAGATGGAAACGTATTCTAAAGTATGCTATGTATCTAGTGATATGCATGCGGATAGATAGATAGATAGATAGATAGATAGATAGATAGATAGATAGATAGATAGATAGATAAGAAGGAGAAGTCAAGAAGGAGAAGACTAGATAGATAGATAAGAAGGAGAAGACTAGATAGATAGATAGATAGATAGATAGATAGATAGATAGATAGATAGATAGATAAGAAGAAGTCAAGAAGGAGAAGACTAGATAGATAGATAGATAGATAGATAGATAGATAGATAAGAAGAAGTCAAGAAGGAGAAGACTAGATAGATAGATAGATAGATAGATAGATAGAAGATAGATAGAGGAGAAGAGAAGATAGATAGATAGATAGAGAAGACTAGATAGATAAGATGAGAAGATAGATAGATAGATAGATAGATAAGAAGAAGTCAAGAAGGAGAAGACTAGATAGATAGATAGATAAGAAGAAGTCAAGAAGGAGAAGACTAGATAGATAGATAGATAGATAAGAAGAAGTCAAGAAGGAGAAGACTAGATAGATAGATAGATAGATAGATAGATAGATAGATAGATAGATAGATAGATAGATAGATAGATTACCGGCTGATATTGATCCATTTATTCATGTACATAGACGGCGATCGATTAACAGACACATATTTTTTTTTTAGTCATGACGAGATACATTTTTAAAATAATGGAAAATCCAAGTTCATAATGAAGAAAATTACCAGTATGGCTGTGTAAGGATTATTGAATTATCATTTTTTACGCTTAAGATGACTGCGAATACAGGTGGAGAGACTATTAACTCTGAAAATCAGGTCGTGGCTATATTTTTACTCGTCTGCAAGAGACGCAGAAGTAACATCTTTAACTAAAGTTAGAATGAAATTTCAAACACAGAATTTGCTTTTGTCTCCAAAATTTTCTAACATCGAAACTGATATCTTTATCAAAATACAACCAGAAGACATTATTAACGTTTTGGACCAGTAATCTTAAGGTGTACGGTTTCATTTTGTAAAAAAATAATGTCATTTTTTTAGCCGCAACATTTTTCTAGTTGTTATCACGACGTGTAGGCCGTTGTGATCGCCGGCCTTCATCAGATGATCCGAGTAACCTTCTGGAAATTTCCAGCAGAACCTTTATTTGATCTTTGTAAATTATTTCTGCCATGCTGTCTTTGTCCAGTGATATCTCATCTTATTGTTCTTATTCCACATGGTTCAGTTATTGCTCGCCTGGTTTTTACTGAGTCCAAGTACATTGAGTCCCTGCCTATCCGCGTTTCAGCATTCGCGGCTTCACACATTCGCGGATTTTTCTTTAGAACATATGTACTTGTTATTCGTGGAAAACTCGAATATTCGCGTGTTTTTCTGAAGAACATATGTACAAATTCTTCGCTGGGAACTCCCACGATTCGCGTATTTTTTCGATAGAACATATTTAAAATATTCTTGTATTATTTTCCTGTTATTTAAGTGATTCAAAACATATAACGGTCCATTTTAATGATAAAAATTTGGCAAAATTGTATATCTTTATTTTAAAAACAAACGCAAAATCATACGTAGTGCTTGAGCTTTGTTCATTGTTAGCGGCTGCGACTGAGGTCTTAAAAATTGCTTATGCATCATCTAGTTCTTTTTTAAGAAAATGTTTTAAACTTCATATTTTATATCTTGTTACACATATTTTATGCCGTATTTTCAATGGTTGTATCGCTCTATGCGTAATTAAAATCGGTTATTGTACTTATGAAAGAAAATTTACGCTAAGTTAGGTACCTCCACGAGATCGCTAAAAAAAGAGCATAGCATAATGAAAAAGATGCCAAACTTGACAAAAACAAAATTTTATCGTCTAAATGTTTGTTATTATTAAGAGGAAAGGTCAAAGTATTTTTGGGGTATTTTTTTCCATTTTTTAATCGTTCCTAGCACGTCCGAAATTTTCGTTAAAAATCTAGTTTTTTTTGAGTCAGCAAAATTGACCATTTTTTCCATTTTAAAAAAACTGGAAATCTGACTTTGAAATTTTTTAAATATCAATTATCATTTTTTCAAAACTTATTTTAAGAAAATCAGAAATTATAATGTTTATTTAAAATATTTTGAACCAAACTTAACTTAGCTTTTGTGCCAAAAAAGATGTAATTTGAAAATAAAACAAAGCAGGTCATAAACTTTCGCGTCTCTTGACATGTGATGAATGATATATTTACGTATTCCATGAGGCTAATTTGTTCTACGGAAGGAGAAAAGTGAAATAATTTACATTTACGTGAACAAATTATTTACCCCGTTATTTTTAACGAAAACTTTCAGCGGTATAATTTTTTTTTTTTTTTTTTGTAATTAGCTTTCACTTTTACGTTTATGATGCTTTATGGGAAATATATTGTAAAGAAATTAAAATAAAACTGTTAAGAGTGACATTAAATTTCATATTTCTTAAGAAAGGTATCTAATTAATTTATAGGTACCTTTTCTTATGAAATTTTATCAGAAATGTACATAAAATACTATAATTTTATGTACATTTATTACATTCTACTGTTATTTGTATTTGCATTCATTTTATTATTAATTTTGATATTTCATTTATGGAAAAATGTCGTAACTGAGATTAATATAAAAATAAGATCATATAAATTTCATAAGATGATACTGATACTTGTAGGTACCCTTCTCAGTTGAAATTGAAAAATCAAATTAACTTCTCCACACGTGTTTCGCAAAAGTAAAGGCCTTAACAGCGGAGAACAATGCTTAACTCAAATAACGCAGCTTAATTATATTCTGGTTGGTCTTCCGTATTTTATAATTACAGCTCGATTATAAGCACAAAATTACATTTCTTAATTACTGGGTATCTTCTGATTAGTCAAAATGATACAATTTACAACGCGCTAAAAAAATGTCTATCTCATAAGGACACTTATGAAAGCCGATGCGACTTTAAACTAATTTTATAATATTTTAACAACTTAAATGTAAAATCTATTATAATTAATGAAATAACAAATAATTGTATTAAAAATTCATTTTTCATCGAAAAAAATTTTTTGCTTTCAGAAAATATTGTCCATATTCATAAAAAACAACTAAAAGCAAATAAAAGCATTTGAAATTAAATAATATCTTTGTTTTATTGAGTTTTGTATGTTACAATTCAGAGCTGATTTTTCAGGTACTGCGTATCCAATTAAAAAAAAACAAAAAAACATGATTTGCATTCCTCAAAGCCCTGTGCTTTTAATTATTGTAATCACTAAAACCGATGCGATCGAATTTCTAGCGTTTTTCATAAAATTAGTTATGGGGGAATAAATATTTTTAAAAAATATTTCTACCATGACTTTCAAAAAAAAAACATATTTTAATAATTTTCGATCATCTGTGAATAGTTCCTGAAAGTTTCATTAACATCCGATAATTATTTCTATTTTTGCACGATTTTTCAAATTAATGTGTGTCATACCAAAAAAACGTGCTAAAAAATTGTCTATGTTATTTACTAGTTCCGCTGATACAAATAGAAAAAATTTTTTTTAATCAAAATTTAGAATGTTCTAAAAAAAGAAGGAAAATTTTTAAAATAATTAAAAAAAAAATTTTGGTCTTTCCTCTTAATAATAACATAAGCATTTAGACAATAAAATTTAGTTTTTCGGCAAGGTTGGCGTCTTTTTCATCAAGCTATGCTCTTTTTTTAGCGATTTCGTGGAGGTACCTACGCTAAGTGTATGGTCACCAATACTATTTTTCAAAAATGTTTTTAAAAGTCTCTGAAATGTTTCTAAAGTATTTAGGATGAGATTTTAAGCCATATGGGGTTTTAACAATAAAAATAGGTACTTATGATCACTTTTAGCGGGGTTACAATTATTCGTGGATTCTAACTATTTACGGCCGGTTCTAGTCCCTAAACCCCGCGAATACAATACAGGGGAACTCACTGTACACATTGCCCGGGCTAGAGATTGAACTCGCAATTATTATGACACCAAATTCAAGCAGCAACGCTCTAATCTACTAGAGTATTGTCCCGTGTCACTAATTCATAAAGAACAGATTTAGATTTAAGGCTTCCGAATTCTCAACCTGATAAGGGGATAAAAGTGCTGGGAATGATTTATTATTCCCCTGGATGTTACGAGTTTGATGATGGGTCGTTTCAAAATATACCCTTACTCAATGGAGGGGTAAGATTTTTAAAGAAAATTTTCTTCAGAATGGTTATGGAAATGACAGGTATAGTGAATGTAGCTGGATTCCCCTATGAAATAAATGAAACCTTCCAAACGAAACAAACTCTGGGCGGGGGTTGGGGGGTTGTTACTATTGCAGCAACTTGAGAAAAAAGACCAAAGAAACCGGTTCAAAAGAAACAAGGTGTGTACGGCGTAACGGTTGCTGGTGCAGAAAACGAAATCAGCGGGCTGAGTTCAAGTTCCGCGCTAGACTTTAGTGTTCACTTTCACCCTTAGGAAAACAATGAATCCACTTCTTCTCCCTCCAGCTACTGCTTAAATAGCAGTCTATACTTGTCTCGCTAGCCTTGACTATCGACCAGTCTTGAAGTATGATTTGAGAACAATAGAGAAGGCAATGAGAAATCACTCTATTTCGCCAATTCGCTGATGATTAAGAGAAAGAGTCTATGGCAAGCAATGACCGTGTTAGCTCTAAATGAACATGGCATTTAAGAAAGAACGGTATCAGCACATCATCTCAGAAATGCAACAAATAAGGCAATATATCAAAGAAAACGAAAATCAGGGAACTGGTCCAAATGGTTTATTGATTAATCTTACTTATTATAAAACGCAGATTGTGTGTGTGTGTGTGTGTGTGTGTGTGTGTGTGTGTGTGTTCGTTTATATATGAAATCGGATTTCTTACATTTTTCAACCGATTTCAACAAAACTTCACTTTTTTTTGGCAGGTAGTGTTTCTTATTGTCTTGCACACTTTTTTCTTTATTTTTACATTCAGAATGCTTTAAAAATTCCATTTACAAGACAATTGTTTATAATAAAATTCTATTCAATCGATAGACTCATAACGATTGAAAACAATGTTTTGTTTGAGTTTGGGTTTGACCAATTCGTAAAAAAAAATAAAATAAAACTCATTAAGACATGCGTGTACGTCAACCTTAAACAATAATCTTTGTCAATTTTATTTTTCAGTCTTTATGATGGTCGATACGTGATCTATCTCTTACTGTTATATCCCCGGGCAACGCCAGGCTCTACTGCTAGTAGTAACTAAACCTCATCTCAGAATTGATGGTAAGAAGATATAGTAACCAAAATGTTTCGGTTGATAAAGTCAGCCAATCAGTAGACCAAACAGAAAAGTTAACACCATATAGTACCTACTTATTAAAAAAAGAATAAACGTTAGAATTAAGATCTTAAAATTAGCACGTCCTAGTTATGACGATAAACTAACATCCGGTAGGCCGCTGATCAGGTGGTTTTGAGGAGAATGAAACCTTTTAATTGCTGTTGTTCCCAGGTCGTAGCTATGGGCAAACATTGAAACCTCCAAATTGGGGTCAAAACACTATGAAAGTGTGAAAAA